ATCCTTGAGTCGTGATAGCTAAGTGAAGAAACGAGACGGAGAGCAAAGGTCTCCTTCCCCTCAATTCTAGGATCACTCAGGTGTCATTCTTGGGAAAATATGGCCAGTCCTGCACTAGCTGAATGGGCAACCTAAGTATATCAATCTTATAGAAACCATACAGAAACAACAGGTTGCCAGCTAGCGGGCTGTGGACCCTCTTTTGTTCGGAAATATGTTGGTTTGGTCTGAGCTACGTGCTGAGTCTACGGCCATTATCCATCTTATAAAACACATATTTCAACAGCATTTAGCCTCAGGCATAGCTAGTATCCCCTTTTATGGGAGATTCTGCTTTGCCAGATTTGCTCACCTGCAATGACTCTGCCATCTTAGGCCTTTTACTTTTTAACCTCTACTTTAAATGGTCCGTGTATCTCTGGTCCCACCCTCTCCCTGTGCCCCTCAATTTTTTTTTTTAAATAAATAAAGGAGAAAAAGGCTGTCAGCTGTCTTCTGAAAAAAATTCCCATAGTTCCTCTCATCAGGCCTTTGCTCTAGTTACTTCTTGTACCGGCACTTGCCAATCTAGAATCCATTAGCACTTCATCTAAAGCAGATGGTGGGCTTCCCACTCCTTTATGAAGGGACTTTGTGCTAAGTTGCCTTCCAGATGCACACGTTACAGTGACTATGATACTATGGAACCGGGCATCTGTTACCCAGCACAGAGGTTCTTGTCTGCATTTACTGACCCTGGTAGTAACTTCACAGGACATACAAGTTCATAGTGGAAAAAAAGAGGAAGAAATGATCTCTTCCAACTTCCAATAACTCTAGATTTTTTTACATGCTTCTGTAATAAACAGAAATGAAGAACATGGTAGGATACTAACATTATTTGCATGTTACTGGTGTTTTTATAAAAACAAAAACAAAAACAAAAAAACACTGGGAAGTTGTAGGCAGTCCTTGGAACACAGACTTATTTGCATTGAAGCCTGGTACACGTAGCATGGCAGAGTCATTATGAAGTGGCTATCTATCTGTGTGCTTTTCTATAGGTCAGCTTGGCTTCTGGAAAGGTATCTTTTAAACAGGGCATGGAATAGTTACCGATGTCTTTCTGGTTACTGCTAGTTAATATCTAGAGTTCAATACAATTTAGGGTCTCTCAGATTCTGTCAGAATAATGCGAAACTATGACCCAAGAGACCATTTATCTTCTCTATTTTCACTTACTCATAGGTTCTTTTAATTCAGAGGCCTGAAGAAAGTGTAAAGACAAAGGAAATCCAGGAAGGATGTGCTTGTAAAGTACGTGTCTATCCTTAATCTTTGGGAATAAAAAGCTACAGCAAAAGAAGTACAAGGACCCAAGTCATAGACAACAGGGCCATCTACAGTTGTCAAAACAGAGTTGGGAATCCTTATTCTTCTTTCCCCAATTTCCCCCTCCCCAAATTGCCTTTCTTTTTATAGTCCAAAGATACACAGGAATTAGAATTTACATAGCTTCACTTCCCTAATTTTTCCCCATACTGACTAGAAGGTGGTATTTTCTTTGATCAGGGATTTGGATAGGAAGCCTGGATTGGCTGTAAGAGAAGTCTCTCTAAGTGGAGCACCTTGTTTATTTGGTGCTCAGCATATTTTTTTTTAAATAAAAATGAACGCTAAATTGTCCTCACTTGTGTGCAACTATTGATTGAGCAAGTCTGACGAAAAGAATTTGATTCTCTTTACAACATGAAGCTGCTACGCATTGGCCTGAAAGCCGGGTCAGAGAGGTTTTTATACCATGTATATTTTGTGGTCATTTTCCTGTTGTTGTTTTCTTTTCCCCCCTCCTTCTCAAGTATCATTTTTTTTTTCTTAATGAAATATCCCTGAGTGGAGACAGTGCAACATCTGCATCGAGCAGTGATTGTCATTTACAAAGCATGAAGTGAGACGTTCGGATTACAGGGTTCTTCTTCAGCTCCCGTGTTGTGTTTCTGGGTGGGTGGTGATCTTTCGCTAGCTTGCAGGGTGAGGTGGAAGGGGGCTGGGTGAAGTTCTGGGAAGGCCTGTGGTAGAGTGAGCTGTTCTTACCCAGATTTCAATATGCCAGGGCATGCCACAGGAGATGTTCAGAGGGCAGTGATCTTAAGGCTTTGTTACCATTCTACCCAGGATTTGATCCTCTGTGGAGGGAGGATTTGGCAACTGTAGCGCAAACTGGAAGTCTCTTCTCTCCACTAAAGTAGACCTCGCCTGTACTGGTTTCCATGGTTTTGTTCTGCTTGGCTTGCTAGCTCTCCTTCCTGTCTCTTAGCCTCAAAAAGTTCCTGCCATCCCAGTAAAATGTTTGTATCTAGTGGAAATGACACAAATTCAAAACCAGTACCTCTGGAGGCAAATGGGGGGGAACAATCTTTTTCCTATACCACCCATGGGACCAGGAAGGAAAAAAAAAAATCTCAGCTCCTTCATCAATTGAGCCGATTTAAATCCTCTAAGGTAAATTGGAGGCAACGAATGAATCCCTCTGCAACTGAATGGGAATTGAAGGCTGACAGTGGGAAATACTAAGCCAAAAGAAACCAGGAAAACAAAGTTGGACGCGAGTTCAAAGCTCAAAGGCAAACACCAAGTGGACATAGTAAGCATCACCCACCACAAGCCAATCATAAAACATACATTGCATTTGGAAATGGCTTGGTTAAATTGAGTACCTTCCATTACCCTGTTTTCCTAGCAATCACTAACGTAATCTTTCCATTAGAAGGAAATATGACTCTTGGAATTAATTCTTTATACAAAGAGCTAGCAGGAGTGACATTTACACCAAAAAGAACCGAGTCCCTGTAGCAGCATAATAAGCAGCCTACAGCTGTCTTCTCAGAACCAAAGGTAATTTGGTTCAATGTAGTTAAATTAATTGAAGATAACAGTAGTTGAGCAAGAGATTCATTATTTTAAAGCCTTTTTGTTTTCCCCCTTGGGTTTGGAATTCATCAATCATGAGGTGAGAAAAAGGCCCCGTTTCTTAGTTTCTTAAGAGGAACAGACTAACACCCCTGTTTTGATCATCAATCAAAAATTCTGAGTCGTCTTGGAAATGGCTCTCAACTATGAAGTTCAGGAGAGCATCAGAGATAAAAAAAAATTCAAAGTTTCTACTGATGGAAGTTTGCAATGAAGTGTGTGTGTGTGTGTGTGTGTGTGTGTGTGTGAACTGGGGCTGGGCTACACTTACAGGAGATGATAATTTTAATTGTTTTATGCACAACTTTCTTTCCAAGCTTTTCTTGGAGGAGTCAGTCCCCAAAGCATGGGCCTCCAGGATAGAACAAATGCCTTGGCATCCATGCAAATTTCATGTGAGAACACATAGAGAAGAAAAAAACTTGTATAAGTCACCCTTGGGTTCTATGTATTTTGACACAGCTAAAAAAATTAAAAGTTCAACCATGTGCCGGTGGCTCACACCTATAATTCTAGCTACTCAGGAGGCTGAGAACTGACTGGTTCCAAACCAGTCCGGGCAGGAAAGTCAGTGAGACTCTTATCTCCAATTAACCACCAGAAAACTAGAAGTGGTGCCGTGACTCAAGTGGTAGAGCACTTGCCTTGAGCTGAAAAGCTCAGAGAGAGCACTCAGGCCCAGAGTTCAAGCCCAACAACCGAAAAAAAAAAGTTCAGGTTGGATAAATGATAAATAGTTTTGGCATTGGGGTATATTAGTTCCAAAGTCAAACCATATGTCCTTTTTTTATTTGGTTAAGTTCCTGCTACTTTTCTTTTTCTAGTAGTGTAGAAATTTAGAGTTGAAGAAAACTGAGGGCACTAAGCTAGGACACGGGAAGTCCTACCTCCCTTTATTGCTGCTCTAAAAAGTATATAATAGGATGAATATCAAGAGCCACTAATTTTCTTTGTATGTTTGATGATACTCTCTTCTTTGCCAAAGTATCAGTAGACAATGTTTATACAAAATGGCATTGGAACTATGGACCATATTTTTAGTTCAGTTTTTAAAAACCATTGCTGGTGATCTCACAGATTTTTTTGGTTAAAGATATAATAAGCACCTAAGTCATATATTTTTGTTTTCCTACAATTGGAAATTTCAAATACAAAGAAAAAAGTGTTTGATGTATTCTGGTGAAAAACCAGGAAATTATCTTTTGTTTGATTAAAAAAGTATTGGACCTTACAGACATAATTGAAATTCAGTTTCTTTCTTTCTTTCTTTCTTTCTTTCTTTCTTTCTTTCTTTCTTTCTTTCTTTCTTTCTTTCTTTCTTTCTTTCTTTCTTTCCTTCCTTCCTTCCTTCCTTCCTTCCTTCCTTCCTTCCTTCCTTCCTTCCTTCCTTCCTTCCTTCCTTCCTTTTTTCTTTCCTTTTTTTTGCTTGCTTGCTTGCTTCCTTTCTTCCTTCTTCTATCCAGTCCTCCCTTCCTCCCTTTCCTCTTTGATTTGAACTTAGGGCTTTGAGCTTGCTAGGCAAGTGCTCTACCACTTGAATCTCGCCTCTAGCCTCAGCCCAATTTTTAAAACAGGAAAATGGCTCCAAATACTTCCTTCACCATCTCACTATGTACTACCATCTTCACAAGGCTTTGATGTCATTGATAGAAATAGTTTGTATGTTTGTTTACAGAAACCATGCATTATATTTATTCCTTTGTAGGCTTAACTGAATTGGTGCTGTCCTGCTATTGACTATAGATGAAAAACTCTGACTGGAAAAACAAAACCCTGATTGTCTAACATAAAAAAGTAACATAGAACACAGAAGGCAAATAATGTAAGGGAGCCCGACCGAACCTCCACTGCTAGTAGGAATGGCATTTTAAGCCACAGTGCATGTGCATGTATATGTAATAGTCATATATAATATTCACCCATATTATATACTCATTACATACATGCACAAGACTTTTCAAGACAGCTACAGATTTACACATGCACCAGCTATCTAAAAACAGAGAAATAGGTAAGCCTATTAAGTGGAATTTTCTTAAATTATATTGGAACAATCAACAGGAAAAGTAACCATGTAAAGTACCGCTCTGTTCTCGAATGTATCTACAATAAAATTCTATAAACAGTTGTCTTCAAAACATACCTGAATAAAATAAAAAAAGGATAACACCCAGTGTCCTATATTGTATATTTATGGTCATTTCCCAAACCAACGAACAACAAAAAGAGCCCCATTCAGGTGCCTATGTACATTCTTCAAACTGTAGCGGTGAAAAATAATTCTATTAAGTGCAGGACATTCCTAACGTTGCAGTAGTGACATTTTTTTTTTTTTCTGAGGTCTTCATGAACACATTGCTTTTGTCTTAAAAGTGATGCATTCCACGACCAGGAGACAGCTGTCTTGGGCCCTTCATTTGCACACGGTGGCACAGTCAGGGTTAAAGAGCTCCTTGTACAAGGGAGGAAACAGTGTGTTCACTATGTCTGGATGAGATTGCTTAAATACCTGCAGCTTCTCACCGTGCAAGTTGCAAACCGCAGTGATGGTTGGTATCTTGGCTATTAACTGCAGAGCCGAGAGACAGGGAGGGAAACAAAGAGGAAAGCTCATTAGGGCGCTGACTTCAGAATCAGTGTCTTTGCAACAGCAATGGCTTGGGAAAGACGTTTGGGAAAGAAAGAAGGCTCACTTTCAACTGCTCTTTAGAACAAAACAAAAGCAAACAAAACCACACCCTTGACCCATCTCTTAAAGGAAAAAAAAAAAAAAAAAAAAAGAAGAAACAAGCAAGCAAGACAAAGCATCCTCATTCCTTGTTCTGAAATAAAGAATATATGGGGAATGTTTAGGGTAATAGTGGTAGGGGATGCTTTATAAGCAGGTGCTGGAGTAGGAATCCTGCTTTCAGAATAGCTCAGGTGGTATTGTTCAGAGATACTCTTTCATTTGTAAAATGGGTTTCCTAATATCTATTTCATTGGTTTATGGTGGGCCTGACTAAAGTAATTTGTATAAAAGTGTTAAGAACACTTAACACAACATAGGCGTGAAGCTTGTTATTATTATAATTATAATTATTATTATTAGTGCTGGTCCTTGGGCTTGAACTCAGGGCCTGGGCATTGTCCCTGAACTTTTTTTTTTTTTTTTTTTTTGCTCAAGGCTAGCACTCTATCACTTCCAGCTTTTTGGTGGTTAATGAGAGGTAAGAATCTCATGGACTTTCCTGCCCAGGCTGGCTACAAACTGTGATCCTCAGATCTCAGGCTCCTGAGCAGCTAGGATTACAGGTGTAAGTCAGTATATTATTTGTATGTGTGTATGTGTGTGTTTTTGTGTGTGTGTGTGAATACAGGGGCTTGGACTCAAAGCCTCTTGCTCTTTCTTGGCTAATTCCCTCAAAGCTAGCACTCTACCACTTAAGCCATGGATACCTTCACTTCTAGCTTTTACTTAGCTGATCAGGTTTGTCTGCTTAGGCTGGCTTTGAATCATGGTCCTCATATCTCAGCTTGCCAGGATTGCAGGTATAAGCCATGACCACCCTCTCTACTATACAATTATCACCTATAATTTCCTGAAGATTTGTATGCCACAGATGCCAGACTTCTGAGTTTGGAAAGTGATACTGTGAGGAGAACAGCCCAAGATGCAAACCTTCATTATGTAAATTGCCTGGCAAGCCATCTCCCCAGTCCCTTTCTTCTACAATGTATAAGGTGAAACTATGAGGAAGGGGAAACTGGGGAAGGGAGTACAGAGAGAGAGAGAGAGAGAGACACCTTAGGGAAATGAATGGAAGAATATCCATTTACAATCACTGTGATATATGGTTTTGGTAGGTTTGTTTTATCTAGGAAATAACCTGTCGAGTAAAAATGCCTAGAACCAATGTTTTATAATAATTTTAAAAGCCCACACTAAATGTTCTCTAGGTCTTAAGAGAGGGCATATTTCTAGTTTTTAACATACAAACAATTTAGGACCACTTCAAGCCCATTCTTCAGTGTCAAATTAGCTTAAACAAATGTCCATCTGATGCTGTTTCTTTGAGAAATGAGACATACTCTCCCATAGAACGATATTCTCCTAAGTGTGATAGGTCATGGAGCTGGCGGAAGATACACGGGGGAGTCATGATAATAAAACGCAATTAAATAAACCTGTCTGGACATCAATTAAGCTCACTGTCTCCCCCAATCCATTCAATAAGAAGAATTAGTTTCAGTCTTTGAAGTCAAAGAGGAAGTAGATTATTTGTTCCTTGATGGGTCTGCAAACTCAGAAATTTCTATTACTTCATTAATTTTCCTCCTCCTGGCTAATGATTGTATAATCATACTATGAGCAATTTAAAAGTAACATAAAGATTCGAGCTGTTGGCACATGAAAGGGGTGTAGAGCGTTTAGTGGTATCTGAGAGTCAGGCTTTCCAGCCTAGCTGTATTCCCTGTTATCCAAAGACGGTACCAAAGCCCTCAGTGCAGAGATTCAGCATGTGGGACTGGAGAGAATCTGCTAGCACCTGGATCTCAGTGTAGACACACCTCTGCTGGCAGCCTCTGACTTACTACCATCTCTCCAGAGCACCCGTGAGCTCAGGGATTGGCTAGAGCTGCCCCAATAACTTCCTGCAGTAGCTTGTCACTTCAAGTCACAATGGTGTGGAGCATTAGACGAGAGCTTAGACTTTTAATTGATAAGAGAGCTGGTGGAAATACCGATGATGGAATTTTGCTGGTTTGGTGTTTAGCTTTCTTACGATTAAGTATGTGGTCATGAACAAAATGTTTAATCATTTTTAGTCCAGTTTTCTCATGTAAGCAGGACCTTAAGTCTACATGATTTCTGAGTTTCCAACTAGTCCTACATTGCTATATTTCTAGATAGTTGAATTATTTTTACCATGCTGTTGCTGGGGATATGAGTTAACAGTTTCGAAGTTACTAAAATTTTATGTTGAGTTTTAAAGTCCATAATTGTTATCTTCAGAAGATATTATTTGACCTACAGTATATCCAAATCAAATTAATAAAACCACTTTATAACAGGAAAAAAATGAAGGTACTGACATGGCAAGGGTAGGGAGGTAGAAGAATGAAAAGAGAAAGAGAGGGAGACTGTAGTCATGAAATTCAACACATATCCTACACAATGAAGACAATTGAGGGAAGGGTGGGCTGGGGAGGAATGGGAGGAAGGAGGAAAGGCATGCCATTGATCAAGATGCATGCATTGTATTTATAAATTGCTTTGTTGAATGGCAACTCCTTTGTACAACTACTTAAGGGCGATAACAATATTAAAAATGTCAGACACCCGTGGCTCACGCCTGTAATCCTAGCTACTCAGGAGGCTGAGATCTGAGCACCACAGTTCAAAGCCAGCCCAGTCAGAAAGTCTGTGAGACTTTTATCTCCAATGAACTACTCACAAAAAGCTGGAAGTGGCACTGTGGCTTAGCTGGTAGAGTGCTAGACTTGAGCAAAAGTTGCTTGCTCAGGGAAGAGCCTAGGCCCAGAGTTCAAGCCCCAGAACCAGCACTAGATATACAATGTACATGCAATAATACATGTATATTATATATGCAATATATGCAATATATATTGCATATATGTATATATAACATATATACATATATGTGCATAATATATCTAGTATATATTATATATATTATATATTGTATATGTAGTATATATAATATATATGCATATTGTATATATATTGTATATATATATTTATATAAAAATCTTTGTCTAGAGGGTGACACTAAGTTTTACCCTAAGAATCAAGACTTTCCAGTGTTATGAATTATAAATTAATTGTTTCATTCATGCTGTGTTACGATGGTAAATCATGTGTTTGCTTTGGTAAATTGTTTGTGTAGGCTTTCAGCTAGAAAGCAGTGTGCACAGACAGGTTATGGTTCTCCTCTTCAGTCTACCTGTCGAGACAGCTGGACAGAATGTCAGCACGCTGTGAAAAGCAGATACAAAGCGGTGGGGAGAGCCATAGAAGAATAGCAGACGAGAGGCAGTAGGAAAGAAGAGGCCCTGGGTCCTTGTGACAGGCATGGGGCTTGCTGAGCCACACCTGCACTGAGAAGGAAGGATGCGAGCCAGACCTCAGGATGCCGAGATGTTTGGGGCCCTGGAATGACTGAGGACAGCGCTTCAGGTGACAGGGCAGGGCTGAACACGCTTGGGGACAAGGATGGGAGATGAGCTTGGCCCAATTATGGACACGCTCTTGGTCCTCATTGTCGTCTTTGATCGGGTTTTAGATGAAGACGAAGGGGATCTGAACCCCCCTGGGAAAAGGTGCTGTGAGTTGTGAGAGGAAAACGGTGTTTTTTTCTATACTTTTATAGGAGAATGTTCGTAGATGAGTGTCCACTTAACTCGAATCCCTGAGGAAGTTGTTCAAGCTCTCTTAATCAGCTGGCTCACACGGAAGTAAACTGCAATTTAAGGATACTTATTGCACATTACGATCCCCCCCGAAATAGCTATTGAATGCAGAGAGGCTGTGACAGCTTTCTAGAATCATCTGTTGTTGAATTGATGATATGCCAAGCTCCTGACACCTCCACACACAACAACTCCATAATGACTCAATTGTTAGTGTATACAGAAATTATTAAGGTGCATCCTCAAAGTGCAGATAATGTGTGTGTGTGTGTGTGTGTGTGTGTGTGTGTGCACGCATGTGCACCAGTGCTGGGGAATGAACTCAGGGCCTGTTGCTCTTACTTAGCGTTTTGCTTCATGCTGGTGCTCTACTTCTGGCCTTTAGCTGGTTAATTGGAGATAGAAACTACTGTCCAGGCTGGCTTTGCACTGCAGTCTGCAGATCTCAGCTCGTGGGCAGGATTACAGATGTGAACCACCCGTGCCTGCTTGTCCTGGGGTCTGCTGTTAGGGGCTCAGCTTTGGAAAGTTTTGGTGGAATTCAGATCCCTTTTTGAAACAAACATCCCCTGTGATTCCTGGAACATTGCGAGGAATCGACTCTGAGAAGCGCTGCTTGCTGCAAGAGCTTCAAATTTCAAACAGACTACCACAATCAAAAGATAAATTCTATACTGTATCTCAAACCGTCCAGTTACAGTGATCAGGTAGCTCCTTTTCAGAGGGCAGATGAGGACATTATTCCATCTAGAGAGGGAAGTGCCCTTGCCTCATACTGTTATGCGGTGAGGGGCAAATAATAAAAGCCTGAGACCCTGTGACATACTAACGCTGCACAGAAGAAGACGATGAAGAACACAGACTTTGGAGTTGGGCTGCCTGGGTTTGGACCTTACTCTGGGGTTAACAGTGATGTGATTGTGGCCAACTCACTTAACCCCTCAGCTTCCAGGTTGGTCAGATGGCAATTTCCACAGTCTCTATGTCAGAGGGAAGTTGAGCATCTTGTTTGAGGCGTTTGCAGTAGCATGACAGAGATTTCCTTATAGCAATAAAGCAAGTTGCTTATTTTATTGACTCTGGTTTATAAAGAGAGCCCCATCTACTAGAATTCTTTCAAGCACTTGTATACTCATTTTTCTGCAGGGATGGAAT